TTTAGTTCTGTCTACTCGTAGAAAGTCAACTTTGGTCAATTGCAAAACTAACCTCTTTCAAATAAATTTAAAAGTGTAGACTGCATAATAGGTCTACTTCTAAAAGTCAAATTCTGATCGAATTCTGGTCAATTGCAAAACCAACCTTTTAAAAAATGTAGACTGAAGAGTAAGTCTACTCGTATAAAATCCCTTTTTTTTTCAAATACAGAAAGTAACCCGTGAATTTGGCAATTGCAGAAACCAACCTAAACGTAGACCTAGTATTCAGTCTACAACCTGTAAACTGAATAAAACGTCTACTCGTCTGTAGACTGAATATGTAGTCTACCATGTAAAATCTATCAAAAGTGGATTTGTGTATTATTCATTAAGTTTTTTCAAAACTTTTTTTTATGAAAGTGTGTGTTAGTTAATCATAAGTGTCTTGAATGATTTTCAGAAGATAATATGTTACAATTAGAAAGTTATCAAATTTTTTGTTTGTCTATGTTGTTAGCTTAAAATTTGTAGACGTACTTGTAAGTCTATGATATAATTTTATCAAACATGAAATTTTGGTTTGCTAATTATGTAAACCGTATTGTTTTGCAGGAAATGGTTCAACTACCTGTTGTATACGGAGAATGGGTGGTGAAAGACTCTTTGTGGGAGTTNTAGCTTAAAATTTGTAGACGTACTTGTAAGTCTATGATATAATTTTATCAAACATGAAATTTTGGTTTGCTAATTATGTAAACCGTATTGTTTTGCAGGAAATGGTTCAACTACCTGTTGTATACGGAGAATGGGTGGTGAAAGACTCTTTGTGGGAGTTTGAGGTCGATAATCGGAAAGGAGGGAGAATGTTCCTTGTTCAGATTCATAACAACATCCTAAAAATTACGACACTTTCTCTAACGGTTTACAAGAAATGTATATTCGTTCTGTTTGGTTTCTACATTTGATATTAACTCATGCTACATTGAGTTCATAAATAATAAAACTCCAGTTTAAATAGCATTAATAAATAACCATCAGTCTGATCTTATGGGACAGTTGAAATTATTATACGAAGACTGCTTCAACAAAACTCTTATCCAAGAAAACTCTATTCCTCAAAATATCAACAAAACCATTACATAACAAAAGTATATTTTTTTGTATACACATAGTTGAAAGCCAGTATCTCCACATGAGCTAGACAAGCAAATCAGCATAAGCATTGAGTCCATGGCTGTTCAAGTTCTGCTTCAGCCTATACAATGCTCGGCTCTCTAGCTGCCTTACCCTCTCCTTAGACAGTCCATAAATTTAAAAGGGTTCATTAGGCTATAAACATACCAGTAATCTAGGGGACTCTGGAATGAAGAACAAAGTCACAACTTGCAAAATACATGGAATCAGACCTGAAAAAAAGAAATCGATAAAACTTAAATAATTTCTTCTTTTCCCATCACTTAAAAACTGCTAGAAAGAAGGTGTGAATGCAATTAAGCTTACCGATTAACGCTAAATTACGCCAATGTACAAAATTTCCAATGACGTAGTATAATGACAACCCACAACTTTGCATCAGCTGTAACAAACGTTTTAAAAAGATTAAGATCATTAGTATCAAAATGTTTTCTGGTTAAATTATCAATATTCCCTCATTATTCTTTAAATTACCTGATTAGCAAATACAAATGCTCCTCGAACATGTTTTGGTGTTATTTCTGCAATATAAACCGGTATCTGATTGCAACAGAGTTAAAATAGTGTCAGCTTTAAACTTATCATACAAGATTTAACTTATATATAAGGAAAAAATGAGAGTTAGAGAATATTTACCACGTAGCTGAATAATCCAACTGCAAATCCTGTGGAAAATCTTCCAGCGTCTAGCCAAATCGTGTCTTGTGCAAATGCTATTGCAAGCCAACCACCGATGCAGAAAACTTGAGCAAACCACATTGTCTGGTTTTTGTTTAGAGAAGAAAGAGAAAAATAAGTTTAAATTTACTGAGAGCAAAGATGATGATAAAAATACTGAGAGCAGAGATGATGGTAAGTTTAAAATTACCCCTTTTCTACCGATGAGATCTGCGACCTTCCCACTAAAGATTGCACCAAACATCCCTCCGAAAGTCATGATAGATCCAAACATTGAGTACTGTGTCGCAACAAAAGAGATAAATGTAAGAAAAATATGTAAAGGTTTTGTTTAAATGAAGAAAAATCATGAAATGGTTTTGTTTTCTTACTTCTGCAACAGAGAGGCCTAAATCATTTATAATCCCTGTTTGAGCTACTGATGAATAACCTGCCTGTAATATCCAACCCAAATATATTCTTAGTTATATGAGAGATTTTTTTGGAAAATAAACTGTTTGTTCTTATTGTTTTAAACCTGAGACAACATAAAAAGGAGTTAAAGATTTGACTAACCGCACAACCAAAGCAGAAAGAACCACAAACAGAAACAAAAGTACTGAAGAGCACTGCCACAGTGATACGACACTCGTTGATGTCGTTTCGGTTCTTGTTCAGTAACAACCCAGCTTCAAGATTTCTTTGGTTCTCCGACATGGTCTTCTTGTTTAGTTTCTCTCCCTGATGATTGGGCTCGTGAATACCAATATAAGCCTACATTTAAGTGAAAATGAAAAGCAACTAAAAGCATTAGATTTGGTTGTGGATAAAAGAAGAAGTAATCAAAGAGCATATTTCCAACAGAGAAACAAGACTCACATAACATATGGTGTCACGATGGAACAGTGTCTAAACACAATAATTATCCAACTACCATTAGGTAACAAAGATCTAAACAACTTTGCAATAAATGGGTACTTACAAGATGGGCAAGCACTTCACAATCACTCCCAGTATGGTACTTGTGAGACTTCAGACTTTCACTTTCACGCAAAGCCTTGTGGTTGTATATCTCTCCATTGATCTGAAATCAAGACAAGCGTCCCAAATAAAAATAACCCCTTAATCATATTATTTGAGAGATTGAGATCAGGACACAAGTCAAACGTACCGTGACAACAATGGTCTTGTCTTCGTTGTAGAGAGGTTAGTCTCCAGAGATAGGGTCAATGATGGCCAAACGCTCATGACCCAAATAACAATCCTCATAACAATGAAGCCCACTCCAATCAGGACCTCTATGCCTCAATCTACACAAACATTTTTTTTCAAACAGATCTTTAAGCATTCAATCAATCTTTCACCATTACATGCATTTCATCTAAAAACTGAGTCAAATGCTTTTCATTTAACAAAGACATCATTTTATCCATAAAGTTTGAAACTTTTCTCATCCAAATCAAAAACCCATTAACGTTTAGAACATTACACAACCCAAGAAGATCGAGAAAACGAAATGGAGACAGAATAAAGGAGAGGGCTTTGATTGAGGATACCTGCGAGAGAGTTTGACGATACGAGAACGTGTGGCTTGGGAGTTAGCGACGCAGCCTAGGACAGCTAGAATCCCACACATGGTGACGAATACTGCAGAGAATAAACCAAACAGATGGTGAGCGATGGAACAGAGTCTTAAACACAAAGATCTAGGTGACCACCTTGCAAACGGAGTGGAAAGCGTCGATTCAAGCAGTGAAAACGGAGTCGAAGAGGTTTGCCGGAAATCTCACCGGTAATGGCCCCCTAAATCGCCTCAGATCTAAACGGCCTGATTAGTTTTTTTTTCAGCAGAAAACCCTAAAAAAAAGTATTTATATGCTCTGTAATTTTTTGGTTTAGGTTAAATTGGTTTGGTTAAATTTCAATTAAGTTAAAAATCGAACTTGGTTAAATCCGGTTAGGTCAATTTGGTATAAGTGTGTAGACTTACGGGTAAGTCTACAACTCCGTTTTTTTTTTTTTGATTTATTGTTTGAGCAAACCCTAAATGTAAGTAGACTTTATTGTAAGTCTACTATAACCCTAAACCACAAATCTGATACCCTAAATATTTATTTGATAATCAAAAATGTATTAATTATTATATTAAATATGTAAATATAGAAAAAATAAACTTTTCAACATTAGTGTGTCAAAAAAACAAAAAAAAATTAAAATCAAATATCTAACCCTAATATATGAATCTAACCCTAAAAGACAAAGCATGTTATACCATTTTGTTGGGAAACCATAACACATTATCTTTCACATGGTTACCAATTCAATATAAATTCTATTAAACTTTTCACTTATATGAAATTTTAATTTATATATTTCNATACCATTTTGTTGGGAAACCATAACACATTATCTTTCACATGGTTACCAATTCAATATAAATTCTATTAAACTTTTCACTTATATGAAATTTTAATTTATATATTTCATACTAATCTTTATATTGATGATTTATTTAAAAACTTCCCAAAAATTATTTTTATACATTTTTAAAATTAAATTATAAGATCAAATGACGAAGTAGACTGTTGAATACGTCTACAAAGTAGACTTCTAAGAAGGTCTACAAATGTGTAGACTTCTCTCTATTATGTGTAGACTTGCGAAGGACAGAACCGTAAAATAACTGTCTGTTTTTTTGTTTGGTCATAAGGGTTAAGTAGTAACTTCATAACCCCATTAGGTTGGTTTTGCATTTGACTCAATAAGGGGTACACCTTTAGGGTTGAAATGAAATTTTAGGTTGGTTTTGGCAAATCCCCCTTATATATATTTATATAGTATATAATTTGATTTAAGTGATATTAATATATATGTATATAGTATTATTCATAATCATTAGTTGCATATATATGTTAATCATATTAGGTAATTGCGTAGCTTTTATTTAAAGAAATAAAATATATTGTTTAATAGTTAGTTTAATAAAAAGTATAGTATATATTTATATGGATCAACTTATTTTTCTAAAGATTCTAAGAATCATTCTAGTGATAACACGTGACTACAAAAATATGTTGTAGTGCTCCAAAATTAACAATAAGGAATGATTCTCCTTTAATATATAGGAGATTTATCATTCTTCTTTGATATTTGTTATAAAATCATTTAATTACTTATATCGTCTCCTTAGTTCAACTAGTCAATGGTTAGATATGATATATTTTTTTAACTATAAGATTATAGATTTTTAAACATTATTCCTACCCAAAATTTGAATTCGAATACAACTTTTTATTTCAGAATTTGAGTTTCACACCTATATTGGTGCATGTATTTTAACTCGCGAGACATTATGAATCAAAAGCTAGTCTTCTACTAACGAAAAAAGCATACGTTGTATTCCAAAAATACAAACCTGGTAGACTGAATTTTTTCTTTTTTTTTGTGCAACGGCAGAGACTGAATATAAGATAGGAACTAGGCTTTTTTTTTTTTTTCTCATCTGAAGATTACCATTAACATCTAAAATCACATACATAAGAGTTCAAAAGCCGACTGATATATAACATCATCGGAGTCAAAAGCCGGACACACCAGAGACAGAAGAAAACTAAAACTAGTTTAAGACATAAATCTAAAAACGAAACTTCACCTCTGATCAAATACGCCATTAAAGAAATAAACAGAGAGTAAGCTCTTAGACAAAGCAAGCAGCCGGAAGCCTATCACCAAGAAAAGGAATCAACCATCACCGAAGCCAAGCAAAGATCTTATATGACTCTTGACCCGCACTGAAACGCTTCAAAACCATAGAAGCCACCAAAGACATTGTGATTGCGGCAAGTAACGAGAGCTACACAAACCAAGAACCTGACAACAAGACTCCACAGAAGAAGGAATCCAGGATCATCAAGGTTTAGTATCAAGGAACCCATCATCTTTAAGGAACCACCAAAAGAACCATTCCAGACTTGAGACATTATCCATTGCTACAGGATGCTAAGAGCCACTCACAAACACCTTAAAAGGAGGATACACGTTTGAACAGAACAAGATTCGGTAAAATATTAAAGACCAAGCGAAACAATATAAAACAATTCGCTAAACTATATAGCCGAACCTATATCATCACCGGTGAAGGGATTAAACTAAAGACTAAAGCCAGAGGAACCTTCGACACATCTGAGGAGGGAAGCGTTGATAGTCAGAGCCGAACCGTTTAGCCACCTATATCATACCTGAAATCAGCCTCACCAGATCCAATGGAAGAATTAACAACCCACATCAGGGTCGGCATAGTCTTGCACCGTACAGCTTTAGGATATCACGAAACATGGAAAGTCCTTAGCTCCGTCAATTAAGCCAGCTAAACTACATTACAGGCCTTCTCACGGTGCCGACGCGAGTCGCCCGACACCAGAGAAGGTAGATCTGACTTTTTTCTGTGGCGGCTAAGTTGCGAGCGTTTCTAGGGTTTTCTAGGTTTTCTTAAGATAGGAACTAGGCTATGAAAATAGAAATAAAAGGCATGTAAGATGAAAAGTTGTTCAAAAAAAAAGATGAAAAGTTTCCATGCACGTGCGACAGAGCCCATGAAGAGGTAAAAAAGTAATTTTACTGCCTATTTTGGTAGTTGAAGATGACAAATGTAAGAGAAAGATAAAAGAAGAAAAAAATGAGAGGAGAAATGAGGACCAGAGACAGTGTTGTTAGTCTTCTCAACGGGCTTCAGCACAATTAAATCTTAGTTCTTTGATTGATTACAAGAATGTAAGACCATCTTCATCACGAGGTTTTAGTTAAAGAATTTTTAGGATGGGATTCTCCACAAAACAGTGAATCCTACACTTACATATACACATACAACATATATATACACATATACACATTTTTAGAACCCTCATGACTAGAACCTCCTAATAGAGATGCTCTAATGGACTCCCTAAGCAATGTCAGGTGATGGGTGGGAACCTTGCAGAACCGAACCACACCGACCAAACTCAACTGTAATCATATGTAGCTTTTTTCTTTTTACCAATTTTATCAACGAGACAACTTTAAGTTGACATAAATATATGTTCAGAATTAGCTTTAAATTACTTTCTTTGATTAAATATACAACATACATTAGTAGTTATATATACAATATAAGCATATTAAAAATATCGGAAATTTGGTAAATTTTGTAGGTGTGTATTACAATTTGTTAAAAGTTCAAAAACAATGAGGAACAAAACACATTTTAGCCAATGAATTGATGTTCAGAGGATTTGTAAGGTGTTTAAGTTAGAATCACATGCTACTAATCAATTTGAACTACATGATGTGGGCATGTCTACCTAGGAGAGATTAGTGAAAGAGAATAAACTCTGTTTAACTACGTATATTCTTTAATGAATATTTTAAATAGTAGTAGAAGTTAATGATTGTGAAACCATGTAGTTTAGGGATTAAGACTTAAAGGGTTTTACATCAGATTTGGGGTTTTAATCCTAGGTTACGCTCTTTCTACATCAAGAGGATTTCAATTCCCGAAAAAGGTAAATGGTGAATTATATAAATTATTAGAAAAAAACTTACAAGAAATTTTTATTAAATTGTACCGTCAGGAATAGATCTTATAGGACGACTCGTGAATTCACATAAACTAGGTAGAATTGTCGGTTGTAATATTATTTATGTAATATTTTTCATAATTTGTAATGCATAATTAACCAGTATTAAAAAAAAAATTAATGATTTTTAGTAACTTCACAATGTTTTGATGAAGACCGCTTTTTTCCACACCCCAACATTTATAATGCCAAATTGGTATACTCTTAATGCTACTCTTATCGAATCCACAACAATTATTGCGATAATTGCTGTAAACTCAATTTAAACCCACCTACTCGTCGGCGCTGGTTTATAATGGGTAGTACCGGTCCTGAGGGGAAGCATTATAAACAACCGTTTCCGGCCCTCAAAAAATACTTGAAAAAATCCGGATTTTTTAATAAGAAAATTATTATTATAGTATATAAATATTCCAATTAAAATGACCAATTTTTTGAAAATTGCTTCTGGTACTTCTTATGTCAGGATCGGTACTGATAATGGGCTTATATTTTGGCCCATTTATCTTCTTCTAAAATCCTAACAGAGACGGTGCTGTCGTTCACATGAGTCATTATATTTTGGCCCATTTATCTTCTTCTAAAATGCTAACAGAGACGGTGCTGTCGTTCACATGAGTCACGTTGAAGCCGAATTCATAAGAGTGGGACACACAATTACATTAGTCGCTAGCTACCACATGGCATTTTGGACGTTTGGTTGCTGTGCATTTAGTTTTACACCATCGATTTAGTTTTGGCTGAGACCAGCTAACGAAAGTGTTACATTTATCAGCCTCCACGTAGATAATGTCGTGAAATGGAAACACATATATTCGTGACTGTTACAACACATGTCAATATTTCATAGCTTCTGAAAGGATACCTTTCTCCGATTCTTGTAATTTAAGAGAATTTAGAATTCAATGATTTCACCAACGAAATAAATTAAAGAACTCATCACCTCGTTAAAACTATGAAAAGTCAAATGCCTAACGTTAAATTTGTTTTTGTGTTCATTTTAGCTGTTTTTCAAGAAAATTTCTATGCAATTTAATTTACAATGTGTGGTTTATATTTTGCAAAACTCGGTAAACATCTAGGAAAATCTTACATGCCTGTGATGTCTGTTGTTTCAATTGGAACTTATTTTATGCAAAACAAAACTGAGAGTATTTAGCGGAACTTAAGCTAGCCTACAAGCCAATATTTTGTTCATGTGGTGTCTATAATCTCAAAGGTAGCACCTAACTTTAGACAGGCCAAAAAGAATAATTAGACAGGCAGTTTCGATCATGTCGTTTGGTATGTGGGTAAATACATCTATTGGCTGAATTTGGCAAGTTAAGAAACAAAGTTTATCTGACTTAAAAAAATAAAACAAAAAGGGAACAAACCCTAATCTTCAGAACGTAATGTATTATTACAAACATAATAATGAGTTCTCTTGATCTCATAACATACAACATCACAATAATACAATTGAAAAATAAATCTATCTCTCATGTCTTAATAGTAAAACTAGACCATAACCCGCCCGACCGGGCGGGTGTTTTGTTCTCTTTTAATTTTTAAGTTTATACTAAATGATGTATGTTTGTAATAGTTACATAACTTTTATTATTCTGAATTTACCTTGAACTATTATTTATATAAAAATATACATAACATGATATGTTTATATTAATATTTTTATTATATATTATATTAATGTTTTTTGTGACTTTTATTTTAGTTATTACTTATAAATAATAAAAATATAATTATATATCTTTGAAAAAAATATTGTTCATTAACTATTTAAAAATATGTAGATAATTAATAATAAAAAAATCCTAAAAGGTAGGTTAATTAATATTGGAATTAATTATCATGTATATGGAATTAGTAAAACAATTTCTATATAATTTATTTATTTAATTACGAAAGTTATATATGAAAATGATTATTTTCATTAATTATTGTTGCCATAATTATTTTTAGTTAAAATTTGATTTTGGAATGCATTAAATAAAGTGAAAAGACAAAGAATCCTATAAGATAGGGTAATTAATAACTTCAGTGGCATAACATTGTAAATAATTAGAAAAATTCAGGGATATTTTATATGGGTACTTCTCTTTTAATAATATAGATAGGAGGACACGCATTACTACTAGCGGGTGGTAGTTAAAACTCCACCTCTGCATCATTAATACAATAGCTACTTATGTGTTTCTTTCTATAAAAAAACATTTCAAGAAAGAAAAAATAAAGAGGTTCAAAAAGATTAGATGACATCAAGGCCTTCTGCAAAACCGAGCCCTCGACGCATCACTCTCTCAGCAATAACCCATTTATCAATATGCCTCTACACACCCACACAAACAAGTTTACTTTTTAGTTATAAAAATAGAGAAGAGAATGACCAAACTGCTCCTTTTAGCGGAACTGTCCACCGGTGAATGTCTGGCCGAAGGACCAGCCAGAAGGAGCGGCGTTGTTTGAGACGACGGTACGGCCGTCGCTGGTAGTGACTTTGAAAGAAAGCGCTTGACCGTTGAGGTAAGAGTTGCTTTGCCAGTTTTGCCCCCAGTTTCTTGACATAGCTTGCCACCCTGTTCTTGAACCCTTGATCGCCGCCGAGTGAACGTCTCCGGCGCCGCCAACGTTTGTGATCAGAACGAGGTTGAAGTATGAGTGTCCGTTTATAGTAAACCTAATTCCTCCCCTTCTCATACACGGAACCCTGCAACGCAACACAACTCATGTTAATCGAACAAAGCTAATAGAAAGTTAGCGAAATAAAAAAAAAAGTTAGAGAAATAAACAATAAATCAAAATCACTAAAATAACATTAATTAAAATTTAATTAATCTAGTTTGAGATATATAGTTTAGGGTTAAATATTTAGGAGGTAATATTAGGTTAGGACTTAGGTAACAGGGTAATTAAGTATTTTATTGATTAATAAATATTTTTTGGTGATTTTTTTCTTTAAATGCTATTTTTTGACAAAACTATGAAAACGCTATTTTGGTTAACTATGATAATAACAGACCATATGAAGAAAACACTAAATCAAAATCACTAAAATTAACATTAATTAAAAGTTAATTCACGTTTGAGTTTAGTATATAGTTTAGGGTTTATTGTTTATGACGTAAGATCAGGTTTAGGATTTAGGTAATAGTGTAATTTAGTATTTTATTGATTAACTAATGATGTTTTGATGATTTTTTTTCTATATAAGCTTATTTTATGACAAAAACTATGAAATTGCTATTTTTGAGATTTGGTTAATTACGATAGTACTCTGTTTTTGAAAACAGAGCATATAGAAGCAAATTTTGAAACAGAGAAGTTGACTTTTGTTACCTTCTGTAGGAAACAGGGACGATTCCAGCTCTGTATTGAGCAATGCGTTGAAACACAGGTTGAGCAAGATCAAAGTGTTGAAGAGGAGGATTACACCAACCACCATTATTGTTAGGTAAGGCGTTGTTGGGCGGGCAAAAGTTTGTAGCGGTTACAACGATTGATCCAGGGAGACACCATTTACCATCGTTTTCACATCTTATCTCAAAGCAAGAACCGCAGCTAAGTCCGTTGTTGAACAGAGCCGTGCTCAAAGCTGCCGTGTTTGTCCCGTAGCCTTGGCTATATAGGTTGCCGTATCCACAAGCACCACCTACGAGAAGTTGTTTGAACATCAGAAACTTGATAATAGGTAAAATACAAAAATAATGGAAATGGTTTTGTTGTGTTTAGAGAATTACCCATTGTGCCGGAAGCATCCCCACCGCCATAGAACGTGGCGTGTGCATTGACCCAACCGCCTCCATAGCCGCTCACAGAAGAAGTCATAACTCCTATCAAAGCCATGACTAAGAACCCAACAGGACCCATGTTTACTTCTTGTGTTAACCTGCACATGGAGTGATAAAGTTGATGATGAATATGTATTAAAGGACATGTAGGAGTTACAACTGAATGTAGATAGAGAAAATAACTACTTGGAACTTTTTTTTTTTATCAAAATAAATACTTGGAACTTGGATACTCTTTTTTCTTCTTCTTTCCTTCAAGAGAGACGAAACGAAAGTGAGAAGAGAGAGATGTGAGGATATGTTGTTGGGTTAAGAGTGGTTGAATTTATAGAAAACTTTAGTAAGAGGAAGTTAGTCCATATTTACCATTCTGCCACTGATGGTGGCAACTAACTTGGACTTCTTGAATAAACAAAGGGCAAACTTAAATAAAACCCTTTTTCTTTTTCAACAAACATTTTTCCTATTCTTTTATTAAAGAGAAATTTACTTTAATGATAAATTATATTGTAATATTTTCCCAGATATGATTTGGTTTTAGATTTTCTTTTTAATAGGAGAAAGAAAACCGATATGGCATTTATTATTAGAAAGAAAAAACCAAAAAAGCAAACAGACAAATGCACATGTGTGCTAAAAAACGGGTCCTGCGTCCTCATAGCCTCTCGTTGCTTTCACTCTTTTTCGCAGGCATCTTTATAAATGTATAAATAGATATAACTTTTACTTTTTGATCCAAAAATATAACTTTTATTAAAAACATTTGTAATTCTATATTTTGTGGAGTTTTTTCACAAATAATATGTATTCTTTTTTTTCATTTTCATTTATTACATCATTAGAATTTGTTCATATTTTGATAGTTGAACTATGATTGAGTTTCCTTCCCCGAAAAAAAACTATAGTTGAGTATTTAAAAATTTCACAACCTTTTAACTTAGTTATCAATATACTAGCCAATAGGTGTAAGAACATATTAGAAACTGGATGATACATACTTCACAAACAACAGTTTTTGTTTTTCTATACTCTTTTTTAACCAATCAAAATTTTGAGAAAATATAATTCCTAATTTGTAGGGAAACCAGATTTTGAAAATAACAAACTATTCTTAACCAAAACCAAAAGCAAGGTTTTCTTAGTTTTTCTTGACAATTCTACGAAACTTTTCTGTTTTCTCTTCTTTTTTTTTACAAAAAGTTTGTACTAATACATTAATATAGCAAAAAGAAATAAAATAAATCACAGTGATAAAATAGTTAAATATTTCAAATCATTACAGTTGAATAAAACAATTGATCTAACATCTAAAATCTAATAAAAAAATATAATTATTTTTATTAAACTTTGGAGCTTTGTTTAGCTAAATTATTTAATAACATTACCTGATATTTTACCATTGAGTTTTAGTATAGAAAAATTAATTTAATTTGTCACTTATTAAGTTATAAGTACTATATAGTTATCACACTATATTTAAAATTTTCAGCTATTAAATTTTATAATATTTTAATTACATAAATTTATACACGTATCGTAGGGTTAATATAGTTAAATTTATACATAAAATTTATGCATATATAGTTAAATTGTACACATATAATTATTATCTTTATTAATGAATATATATGATATAGTTAGTTTACATTTATTTTAAAAATTATGTTCACTCATTTTAGTTAAAGTTATATATATCCGGATTTCTACTATATTATATGTACAATTTTATAAGTATAAAGTATATAGTAATATAAAAATTATATCTACACATAGTATCAATTTATTATTCTAAAATATATTTATGACATAAAATATATGTATTATTAATTTTCGGATCAATATGAATTCATGATAATTTTATTTTGTTTTCATTTTTTCTTGTAAAAATACTAAACGAGTTTATATGTGGTTTGATGACAATGTTTATTATTTTCAAAATAAACTTTTACAAATAATAATGTATTTTATTCATTTTAAAACTAAAAACTAAAAACTAAAAACTAAAAACCAAATCTAAAACAACCATTCAAGTATTTCTAAAAACTAAAATCTACAAGAAAATCAAAAATCTAAAATCTAAAAACCAGAAACTCAAATCTAAAAACAGTAAACAATCATCACCTTTGTATATGGTCCTGAAGATACAAGATAACTATAAACAGTTTCTTTATTTCCTAGTAAACCTCCGAGTCATGAGATAATTGGCATCTATATAGTACAATTATTTTGATACAAATGTGTTGTGCTGCTATACAATGTGTGGTGTATAGGTGAGATCAAATACTCCCGTAAATTTTGGCATTTGTGATTTGTTTCGTATCTCACATATATATGTTTTCATTTGTTTCAGAAAAATATGAATATCCAAAAAATGTTTGGATATTTACAAATTTTTACTGATATCTCATGCATTTTGTTTAATAATAATAAATCTAGAAAAATATATTGTTTTTTAAAAATAAATCTTTTTACAGAATATTAAAGCAAAAGTGCAAATTACTGGAACTATATATTCTAATTTTTTATAATGAAATAATATTTAAAACACATAGTTTTAGAAATTATAGTTTTATACAGATTTTATATCTCTTTTCTTAATTTTAATACTTAATATGTATTTTATAAATAACAACATTATATGTTAAAATAAAAATTATATAAAATTATATATTTAAATATATATATATATATATATATATTTATTTATTTATAGATATACATTTATTTACATAAAAGTCAGAATAGATTGGATATCCGCCTCTAAATTTTTAGTATTCCTTTTTTTTTTTTAATGGATGTTGATTTTCATATTGTTTTGCTTTGAAGATTTAGATTTTTGAAATGAGAAGAAACGAAAAGACGAACCGAATCAAATGTAAACGGTAAAATATTTGTTCTTAGTGTTGTGTGTGTTATATGATAAAATAGTTAAGAAAGTGACAGAAAAAAAAAGTCGAGCTGAAATCTAAGTGGGTCACGATGGTCTCTTTTGAATTAGACGTATCACGAAGCCTATAACTCTGTTGCTAATATATCTAGCCATTTTGTGTTTGATAATATATATATTTGGAAATTATTAAAGAGAAGGTATTAAATGTAATAATTAAAAAGAGGAAAAAACATGTTGAATTTAATATGGTCAAGAACTTCACCGGCAGAAATCTACGGCGAACCTCCCGAAATCTCAGCAAAAATCATGGGCCCGCTACTATTATCTTCAATTTATTTTGATGATATTACGAAAACATTGTTTTTTTTTTGAAAACGAAATTACGAAAACATTGTAAAGTCGCTTACGTTACTTCTTTTATATTTTCCGACAGACTACAAAATATGAAAACTCACTGAAAATGATATAATAGTAAAAATAAAGGAGGGATTTTGATCAAAAAGAAAATAATGATAAAAGGAAATGACAACAGTCCTGGTCGTTTGGTTGCCACAAATTTCTGCAGCTGCTACTGAGTCTACAAGTGTGATTACGTCTATTCATTTAGTTGTTGTTTGTTTTGCAGACGCAGGCGCAGATGTAGGTACCTACGACAACCAAACGAAACAAAGAGTATTAACATAAAATTTGCCTCACATTTTGTATTATGTGAAGGGTTTTCAGGGTTCAAAACAAATTATAAAAAAAATTATTTACAATTATAATGAAATAAATTTCTTGTGAAAAAGAAAAAAAAAATAGAAATTTCTAATACAATTTCATTTTCACCAAATACAAGAGTCTAACTGTACAAGAAAAAAATTATTACGTAAATATGCTATATAATGTCATATTGAGAAAAAATACATGATTTCATCGATTCTTGTGATTTTTTAAAAATAAGTCTAAACCATTTTACTAGAAATTATTTTAATATTTGGGACTCTAAAGAAAATCATATTAACTGAAGACCTGAGACAAGTACATTTTTTAAATACACTGTAGGCATACTTCTACTTACATTGTGGTTTAGAAAACAAAACAAAATCTTGCCTCACATTTTTCTTTTAAAAAATTGCTTCACTTACTTGACCGACTTTAAATTTTGATCAAAGAGTAAAAAAAGAAATGTTTTGATCATTTAAATTGTTAGTATATTAACACTTGTATCGTAACAACTTCTGTCACATAATTTATCAAGCTAGTATAATCAGCATTAATCCTTAATTTCAAAACTAAATGATGGTAATCTGGTGATAATTTTTTGATCTAGTGTATATCAACATCGACTCTGATTTTGATTTCTGTTAAATTATCACTATTTATCAATTTAGACTTGAATTTTCATTTGCGCGTAAATGGTTAATATGGTAGATTATAATAAATAATCAGTCTATTTCTAGCATTGGTTAAAATGTATCTAAACTTGATGAAGTATGATGATACACTTTCAAGATAGTGAACTCTAAATCACTAAATGTGTTTTCCTTGAGTTCGATCCAATAGTCGGTAAGATTTACTAAAAAGAAACTGAATTTGAATTGAAATCAATACAAATATCTTCTGTCTTCCAATGGTAAGAGCATCACCAATGTAAAACTCTATTTTTTCTTCTAAAATAGAGTAAAAATGATTATAGAGTAAAAATGCTTTAATTCCACAATATTTCTAATGCCATAATAGAGTGGTGAACAAAGAAAAAATAGATTACTCCATTTATGATGTAAATCTCATTATGGAATAGAGTTGGAGTATTTTTTACTCCATAATCACTTTTACTCTATTTTGAAGTAAAAAATGAAGTTGAGTTAGAGATGTCCTAAGTTAACGATAAAAAAAAACTAGCAATACATTGAGGCTAAACCATAATATCCAGCATGCGTGAGTGGAATCAAAATATAACAATTATAAAGAAAGTTGAAATCTTAACCTTATAGACAGTATCATAGGATTCCATGCATGTGTCTGCAAACGCCAAAAGAAGTTAACGCGGGTTTGAATGAAGACAACAGTATTTTATTTCAATCATCAATTGAGTTATTTGGTAAAGTGTAGGAGTTGAAATATAAAAACGATGTGAAACATGTATTTTATTTCAATCATCAATTGAGTTATTTGGTATAGTATAGGAGTTGAATATGAAAACGATGTTAAGGTTCTTTTAATTATCTATATTAACTATTATATTTATCAAAAAATAATTATCTATATTATTAAAAGAAAAGTATATAATAAAAATATCTGTTAGTTTTGCAATTTATTTATCTAAGAATAGTACCATTGATATATTTATTAAACGCAACTTTAAATATTTTTTATTTGTTACAATTTAATTAATATTTCTGAAATAATTAATAACCTACCTTTTA